AAGGCCTCGACGCGTGGGCGCGGAACCGGCGCGGGCGGAACCAGCGCGGCGCGCGCGGCCGGCGCGTCGTCCCCTTGCGGCATTGGCACCTTGGTCGCCCAGGGCGGACCGTCCGGCGGCGGCGCCGGAGCCTTTCCCGCGGGCGGCACCATCTCGACGACGACGTCCTCCTTCTTGGCCGGCTCGTCCCACGCGAGAAGCGATCCCAACGACGAACCGCCGCCGGGCGGGGCGAGGACGCGCGAAGTGGGGCGATCCGTAATCACATTTCCCGTCTCACCGTTGGAGAAGGCGTTGCAGGAGGTGCTCATGAGTCGCGCGGCGCGGCGTCGAGGCCACCGGTTTTTTGCCTCTTTGGCTGTTTGTGCCAAAACTTTTGTGGCGATTCCTGGGTCGCTACGCTACGTCGCTACGTCGCCCGTATAGAGCGCCCCCCCCCGCCACAAGAGACGGATTAGGCCCCAGAACACGCGAACGTGACCGCACGACCGCTTGCTACGACGAGGACCGCACGATGCGCGACTGGGAGAAGAAGCAAAAAGAATATGAAGAGCGCATGGCGCGGGTCAAAAACGCCAAACTCCGGCTGACCTGCAGTATTTGCTCGGCGAAAGCGAAGCTCCCATGCCCCTGCGGAACCGCCCAGTACTGCAGTGTCGCCTGTCAAAAGGTGGACTGGCGCGAGCGCGGCCACCGGACGGCGTGCAAGAAGATCCGAGACGAGCGCGCGGCGGAGGCGGCGCGGGCCGAGGCGCCGACGCCCCCGCCGGAGGTCTTCTACGGCCCCGCGCCGCGGTCGCACGCCGACGAGGTCCGCGCGCGCATCGCAGCGGAACACGAGGCTGCTCGCGCGCGGCGCGAGGCGAACCCGGAGCCCGAGCCGGAGTCGACGCGGTGGGGGTCGCGGTGCCCGATATGCCTCGAAAAATGGGATGTGAACGAATATATTCATGTTCAATGTTGTTGTTCCATGAGGCTCTGCTTGTCGTGCAATTCTAAAGTCAAAGAAAAGTCTTGTCCGCTCTGCCAGGCGCCGGCTGTTCTGAGCTGGAAGGATGAATTAGCATGGATTCGTCGCCACGTGGAAAACGACGTGCCGGAACAAGTGGCTCGTCTGGGGGAAGTGTATTCTGAAGGTGCCCTTGGCGTGGTCAAATCCGATAAGAAAGCAGCCAAAATTTTCAAGCGCGGTGTGGAGCTAGGGAGCGTGAATGCGATGGTGAATCTGAGCTGCATGTATTTGTATGGGAACGGGGTGAAGCCTGACAAGAAGAAGGCGATGCAGCTAGGGCGCATGGCCGCAGATCGGGGCTCTGCTGATGCGCAGAGAAATATCGGCCATCAGCTTATTATAGAAGGGAATTTCGAGGAGGGTTTTCCATACCTTCGACGAGCCGCGGAACAAGGCCACACACAGGCGGAAGTCACACTCGGGGTTTTCTGCGCGACCCGCGAGTTCGAGATTGACAAGGACACTATGAAGCGCTACGGTCTCAGCGACGAGGAGGCCAAACACTGGCTTTTGCGGGCCGCCGCCAAGGGCAACGAGGAAGCAAAGGCGCATCTGGCGGAACTCGACGCGTGAAATCCCCTAGCAGTAAGGCTAGAACATCATCCCCCCCCAGCTCTTTACCCCACGTCCGCCATCCAGTCCCCCGGCTCGCCCGCGTCCGCGACGCCCGCGGCGGTGACGGCGAAGTGCGACGACGGCAGGTCGCCGAAGTCGTCGCGCGCGCCCGTGACGAGCGTCGCGGACCGCTCGCCGGAGGCCGCGCTCCGCGTGAGCCGCAGGCGCGCCGTCGCGACCTTGGCGAAGGTCGCGTCGTCGGCGGCGACGACGGCGCTCGGGTCGGCGCCGTCGGAGAAGTCCGCGGAGACGTGGTTCGTGAGCACCGCGGGGACGCCGTGCGCCTTCGACAGCGCGGCGACGGCGGCGAGCGCGTCCGCGAGCGCGGCGCGCCGCTCCCGGGGCGGCAGCGCGCGGACGACGTCCGCGAGGCAGTCGACGACGAGGAGCGACACGCCGTGGGCCGCGCAGACCTTGGGCGCGTCGCGCGCGAGCGTCGCGAGGAGCACCTCCGCGTCGTGCGCCGACGACACGAGCAGGTCCCGCGCGCGGTCCGCGTTTCCGCCGCGGGCCTTGAGGAAGGCGAGCGACGCGCGCGCGGCGCTCCGGCCCTTGGTCTCGACGACGAGGACCTTCGCGCCGGGCGCCGTCCGCGCGAGCGTGAGCGCGACGAGCGTGTGCGCGAGGTTCGACTTGCCCGCGCCGGCCTTGCCGTGATCTCGAGGATGCGCCGCGCCA